AAATATCCAACTTCCACACATAAAAATGTACTAAAATATTCACACGTGATTATGCACATATCAATAAATTCCCAAACTTGGCATGCTTCTATATTCAAGTATTCACAACATATTTCTCACATAAAACTTAACAAATAAACCCGACACCTCAGGGTTTATTAATTAAATACCCGTAATTCTATATTTCACCATAACCAAACAATTCGATTTGGCATACAAACCAATATATAAGGCAAATTCTAGCTTAGGCATCACAATTTAAGCCTAAAATAAACACAATTTAATTTCGAAATTTCCACAAAAATATTAATAAAATAATAATATTTTTAATTCCGAAAATTAATAAAATATTATTATTTAATTTCCGAAAATTAATATAATATTCTAATACCTTAACAACTAATTCCTAATTAATTAACACTAAACATAATTGACTTAAACTAATCCGCTCTAATCAAGTTTAACCTACTAAGCAAGGGATTAGGGCGATAACTCACCCGATTGAAAATCCGAAGACACCGGCACGTCGACGACGGCGAGGGCTACGCGTGTCATGGTCCAGAAATGACACGGAACGACGACGGCGGATGGGTCTCAGCCACAGCAGCTAGACAGCAGCTGTGGGCGGCTGTTTCGGCTTGGCGGGGCTCGGTTGAACGGCGAAAATGGCTCGGACGGGTGGCTCACGGTGGCGGGCAGCCATGGCGTCGCTGCTGGTGGTTCCATGGCAGCAACACAGCAGCAACACAGCAGCAAAGGGGTCTGGACAGTGGCTTGGTGGTGGCTGGAAATGGTGATGGCGTGAGGGAGAATAGAGAGAGAGAGAGAGAAAAGCCAATTGGTGAGGGAGAGAGAGAAGAGAGAGAGAGAGAATGAGCTGAGATATTAAGAGAGATATTTCTCTCATTAAAGCCATCCCCAAAGTCTTCATCATCATGCCATAAGCCCCCAAAGTCTTCACCATTAAACTCCTTTGTCTCTTGGTCATAAATGCAAAGAAGGGAATTTTGGTAAATTCACCATTGACACTATTCACGGTTACTATTCACGTGAGCTCGGGCCAGAAAACTTGGGCTCGGGCTTGAATGGGCCCAATTGGAAGAGAAATGGGCTTGAAAAGCTTAATGGGCTTTCCTTGGGCTTTGGTCTTGGGCGTGAGGCCCATTGGGCTTTTTTCTCGGCCCACTCCCTTGTGGGCTTCCATTCTCGGCCCACTAGTTCCTTTGTCCAAAGTTTCGGGGCCCAAAATTATTCTCGAGTTTTACCCCGACTAACTCGAACCGGAAAGTCTCGGAACAATCCTTAATCGAAAACCTATAATCGGATCAAGGCTTGTGGCAAAACTTCAATGGGAAGTGTCCCTAATATGGCCTATTCGAGTTAGGTGGCCTCTTGGGGTGTCGCTAGCGTGACTTAAGGTTGATTCGTCAATCAATCCATATTCGACTCTCGCTAATCCATGGATCATTCTCGGTTGTCATGTAATCATGTGGAATTGACTTATTTACCCGGGGCACGTGGTCTGGTGAAATTGACTTAAGATCGTTCGGGTTTAGTATAATGATCATGCGGAATCACCCGCAATATGACTATGTATACTTTCGCCGAATCGATTCCTAACCTTTCACTGCTTGACCTGTGACGTCATAATGTCATCCTGTTGGATGTTTGTTTGTAAAACAAACAAAACAATGCTTTTTCCTTTGTCCCACATAGGAAAGTTTTGGGTAAGTGGGCCATTTTATAACTGTGAGTGTCTTCTTACTCCTTAAAGTGAAGACAATGGGGTGTGTGCTAGTCCACACAATACCCGCGTGCGGGTGCGGGAATAATTGCGCGATTTTGGCGCGATTTTTAGGCGCACTTAGCACTTTGCACGCTTGCGCCGCCGCGGTTTAATTAGCTCTAATCCCTTTATTTTTTATTTTATTTCGTAAGGTTATCTCCTTAATCTTTATTAATTGAAAGGTTGTTTTTTGTTTATTAAATAATTTTCGAAATTATGAAAATTCGGAATTTTATTTATATATTTTTTATTTTATTTTATTCCGAATTTTACATGTGTCTTTTCAAGACAACTTTTGGAGATTATACTTGTTCAGTTTTCAACCTTTTCCGAAGGATTGCATTTGTTCAGTTTGCAACTTCTTCCGAAGGAATATCTTTATTAGCTTTGCAACCTTTCATGAAGAGTTGCCTATGAAGACCGATTTCTATATATGTCAGTTTTTCGCAAGAAGGAGAGATCAATTTTTTCAAGTCTTCTTTCAAAAACTACAGCCATCATTTTCAATTGTTTCCTAGAGAGACCCTGGAGAAATACTAGAATTGCTATCTAGTATTCTCATTTTGAGACTTTGTTGTATCCTGGAGGATTTTTGCCGGTAACCATTAGCAACATTGTGGGGCAAATAAATCCTTAAGGAAAGTGATATCACGCCTCAAAGTCCGACTTGATTGCTCTTTGATTCGAAGCCATTCAAATTTTACAACACATCCCGCATCGATCCTTATGGTCGAGCTATTTTCCATGGTCGAGTACTCTAGTCGATCGCATTGTCCAACCCTCAATTGCCTTTCCTAATCGAATAGTTGACCCATGAACGATTTGTGAATCGACTCATGGTCTAATCCTGCTATTAGAACATTGATAGTTTAAGCCACTTCACTTGCCGAATTAGGTTCCGAATTGAGGATGTCACGCTAAGGCAACAAGATTCCTATATGTTGTTGTCTTTGGATAACCTAAGGGGATGGAAAGTATGTTTTGTGGCCTTTCAATAACCCAAGGCAACAAAAAGTTAATTTCGTCACATGGGGAGGCACATGGGGACACCAAAAATGTTCATTAGCTCCAATGCACTTGAGTCCATTAGCTCCAATGCACTTATATGTCGGCTTAACAAAAATGTTCCTATGACTCAATGAGGAATATTGTTAGTGGTCGAGATGGCCGATTCATTAGCAAGTTTTGGACGGAGTTGTTCATACTACTTGGGTCGGATTTGAACTTCTCCACAAGCATGCATCCTCAAACCGACGGACAAATGGAGCAGACCAATGCCCTCATTGAGCTCTATTTGCGGCATTTCGTGAGTGCAAGCCAAAAGGATTGGCATAAACTACTTGATTTGGCACAATTCTCGTTCAACTTACACAAGAACGAGTCGACCGGCTAGAGTCCATTCGAGATGGTAATGGACCATCAACCACTCACCCCAAATGGCATAGCCACGAGGTATAACGGTAGTAGTCCTTCCATTTTCAAGTTTGCCAAGGCATGGCAAGAGGAGACCGACCTTGCCCAATCACGTCTTCACAAGGCAACCGAACGAATGAAGAAATTTGTCGATAAGAAGAGGAGACCGGCTGACAAGTGGGAGACCTTGTCCTCGTGAAGCTACACTTGCTACAATACAAGGGGCCAACTTCACAAAGGTCTCCTTCGGCATTATGAAGGTCCTTTCTGAATTCTTAAATGAGTCGGGATGGTTGCTCACAGGCTTGAGTTTCCCCCGTAGCTTAAGTTCCATCCTGTGTTCAATGCAAGTATGCTCAAGCCGTGTCACAAAGACACAGAGCATCCCGAGCACACGAGGTCACATCGAGCACCGATCAGAATTCGAGTCACACAAGATCGGGAGGTCGAATTCATCATTGTCGAAAGGTATGTTCATCGAAAATATTATCCCTGTCTTCATGAATATATGGTGAAGTGGAAAGGGCTACCCGAAAGTGAAGCAAGTTGGGAATCGGCGGAGTCTCTATGGAAATTCCCCGATCAAATCCAACGGTTCCCCGACAAGGCGACGAGTATGTCGCCGGATTTAGTGGGGGAGAATGTCACGGATCAAAGAGCACCATGTCATCAATCCAAAGGAACTCCACATCATTGATCCAAAGAGGCTCATCAAAGCTGTTAGATTGCAAGGGGACTCAATCTCTACCATTGAATCTACTTCACAAGGATTGATATCCTCAACCGTTGGATAGAGTCACTCTCCCCCCATCAAATTAATGTGACGAGGATCAATATCATCCACTGTTAGATCAAGTGGATCTCCACAGTCTGATAGATTAGACAAGGATTGACATCCTCTGCCGTTAGATTGTATAGTAGATCAATAGTTGTAATTAGAGAGGCTTTTGTATAAACAGGGGACCCCTCCCCCTCATTTGTATCATTTACTTCATTTGAGCAATACAAGAATTCTCTAGAGCTTCTCTCTCTACTTTCTCTCTCTGAAAATTCCCTTCCTTGAGTGTAAGAGTGAGTGTGAGAGCAAGGTTTACTTAGGACAAACAAAGTGATCCTAGACCTAAGTGCCGCACATTTCGTGAGCGAAAGAATCATGCACCGTGGTCCTTGAGCTAATTAAGTCAAGATGCCTACATATCTAACAATTTAAATAAAAAAAGTGAATGTCAATAGCTTGCAGATTGAAGTAGAAGTGAGCTTAGTTTAGTCACATTCAATCAAGGATTTTTGGCTCTTGCTACACGGAAAATGAAAATGAGTCGGAAGAAAACCAAACATACAATCAGAATGACCTCGATTTCTCGTACTGAAGTTTTACTCTTGAAGACATTTCTTTGGTGATAGGAAGAACCCTCCTGTGGAATTTTTTGGTCTTGGTTATAAACGGAACTGACTATCTTGCACTCACTAATCGACGGAAAGTGAGCATGTGATGTCACATGTGCCAAATTCGATACAATCGGAAATTGCAGATGGAATTTTGGCTCGGACATCCAATACGAAAAAGACAAGAGTATAAGATATTGACTGAGACGAGAAATTACAGAAGGTTCACAGAGACAACCATTAAATTACAAGGGGCAGTCAAATTAGAATTAACCCAATTGTTTGTTGTGCCAAATAGCATAGTGAGAAAAAGCATTAGGTATTGTAATTTATGCTGGTCACAGTGTACTGAGACCGTCATAAGCATATGTCGAATGAAAAATCTTTGATATTGATCAAGAAAATGAGCCACTCATACTATAGAACATTAATATATTCCAACGTCACACTTTTTACAGACTCCTCTTGTTTTATTTTATTCGAAATCCACTAGAAAAAGAAGGGGGCTCTCAGGCCAAATAAGAGCAAGGATCGAGTGTTAACACACAATTCAAATTGGACGCAAAGCAGATTCGGAAATGTCTAGCGCAATCGATGACGGCTTGGTACTTCATCTTGTTCTTCCAAGCCATCACACTGGCAATGGATTGACGAGCAGACAAGTCACATACTCTTTGAAATTAGTTCCAGCATTCACGTAGTAATCTGTGCCGTCTCCATATGCCGCATTAATGGATCGGGCAAAATTGATAATTCGCATGAGGAGTACCCTGGGAACGACGGTCGGACGGCGCATCTCTTCGTTAATGTCCTTCCACGCATTGGCCACTTGTTTGCCGAGTTCCTCCTTTGCCTTTTCCTCCATAACGCCATATTGTTTCATGAAACACTCCACCGAAGATGCCACATGACCTCTCTCTTGCTCAAACTATAAAAAAATATATATATCGTTGAAACTATTTTTTCTCCTATTGATAAAACCTATGAGACAAAATCTTGATAAAATTATGTTCACTGGTATATCTTTTGTATACCTTGTGTCCAGCAATGTCATTCATGAGCCGGGTGATTACTTGTGTAGCCCTCACTATCTTGGGGTCGCTGAATAATAACCAGTCAAATGCATCTTTTGTTACGACATCTCCCATTCCCAGAAACGCTGTCACAAATGTCAATTGACAACCAATGGATGTTAATGCAACGGGCATGTACTCCTCCATCGTCGGTACGTGGCCTTGGTGGAACCATTTGGCTTCGGCCATGTACGCTCTCACTTGGATTTTCATCTGAGAATTCATTATCAAACGTAAAGGTACATCAATATTCGAGCTTTAATGTATTTGGTGGATTTAGATGTATGACAGTCTCTCATCCTTATCGAAAAGCTAGATATTCTATTTTAAGTGGATAGATTAAAAATCTTTTTTGATTGATGTATCTTCAAATGGCTTACCGCTTCTTTTCCATAGAAGAGGCAGTATGATCTTCCTTTTCTGGTCGGTTCGTAGCCAATTTCATCATACAAATCAAGAATTGTCTTGTAAAACACCTGCATGCACTTTGGCAATCCTTCTTTGGCATCGACATCCCACCTGAGTTCAAGTTTAGAAAATATAAAAGTTGATCATAATCAACAGTTGATCAAATTACAATAAGTAAGTTTAGTCGGAAAACTGAGAAAAGCCTCCAAGAGCCAAATGTACCTTTCGATTGCTTCCGTGAAGAGTTCTAGTTCTTCCAATGTGCCATAGACATCATAGATGTCGTCGAGAATGGTAATAATGATCATCATTTTGGTAAATATTCCTCTAGCGATCTCATAATCCGGCTCGAAAGAAACTCCTAACATCCAGACATACATCTCCACAAGCCTATCTCTAGCAAATGGGAACTCCCTCTCTATATCTAAATCCTTCCACCACCTATAGTTTACCAACAAATCCCGTTTAAGGCAAACACATCAATGATGGAATTATAGCTAGTACTTTAGACCGATGATCCAAAGAGATCAACACTCTTGTTACGTACAAATGATTTAGGATAGATTGCAATTACACTAATCAATGTACAGCAATCTGGTGTTGATAGAACATCTAGCTACTTCAGACATGCTATCATGAAGTTAACCTGGTAAGGTTGCCAAGTTCCTTTCGGTGTTGCTCTTGCAGTGAGTTGAAATCGAGCTTAGCCAAGGAGAGTAGGACTTCATTATGCGAAGGCTCCTCTTGGTAGAATTGAATGTAACACCTCGCCTCAAGCCTTGGCAGACCCTTATGGATTGGCTGACGTAGCGCATGACTCACTTGTTTTTCAAGATTAGGGCTTGCTTGTCTTTTATCAATTGATGCCAGGTGAGTTATCGTAAAAGCGAGTGCATCGTCCAAAATATCTTCACCGTGATAACTCAAATGGCAAGCTTCAAATAGACTTAGTAGTCCCTGCATGTCGGCGATGATCGATTTGCTGAAATTCCCTTCGGTGTCCCTGAACCTGTGAAAGATTTCTATATGGCCAAACAGAATGTGGGAAAGCAACTGTCATAGATGTTGTGAAAAGCATCATGTTCAATATCTAGATCAATTGTAAACAATGGAAAATGACATACTAAACCAAGGAATCATGAAAAAAAACCAAGGAATTAGGAGAAAGGACTATTCACCTTTCAAAGCGAGAAAATTTGAAGAACTCGGGATAAGAGAATTATGTACAAAAACAGGTTAACGAATAAAGAAATCAGCATCAGAGTAAACTAAACATGTACGTGATATTATTTGTTCACTCTAATCAATCAATGGATTATCAAGTTAATGTCTGCAATATAATTTCGCCAACTCATGGACCAATAAAATTGGAACATTACATACCACATGAAACATTGAAACCTTGTTGTCGTAATAATCGAAAGATAAGAGCGATGGTGTGTAGGTTGTCGTCGTTATCGCCACAGTGAAACTTGAAATAGCTTCTATGGATTTGTTCCAGCTGCTCATCTATCTCAAGTTCAAAATGGTAGGCCAATCCCAAGCGTTGAATTTGATCAATCAAGTTCAACTTCTGCGAAGGCTTATCCGTAGCACTTGTCAACATCTTCCTAACTTCTCCTTTCAATCTCTCAATTTGTTCCTCTACTATGCCATGGGAACTCTACGATCAATATAAAATTGAAAGTCCAACAAATAATTAGAGGAAGTTGACATAAATTGAGTAAGAATACAAGAAACATATTAGGTTGCCTATTACCCGATCGACCACGATAAATATAACCGAAATTACCTAAAGATTATACCATTAAGACTAGGCTTATTGGTGGTAGAGAAGTTCTTTCTCCATTCGTTAAGTCATATGTGCATGCCACAAGGTTCGCATAGGCATTTTGAATCGTGTGAGGACCAACACATGTATAGAACTTCTTTTCATTTTACTTATCAAATGCTGTGGGACGATCCTCAATGTTCCAAGATATTCTTTATGCTCTCAGCTTTCAAACAACATAACAACTGAAAAGTTATAAGAAAGTAATCCAAGAAAAAAGAGTAACATAAATGCTACCGTCAAGTTGGAGTCAGAAGCATATTTTAGAAAGTAATCTGTCCATATGCTTGAATGAAAAATCGCCGACCGCCGTTCAGCGGCCGGGCTTCTTTCTTGAACGGGAGGAGATGATGGGACTGCTGAAATCTGAAGAGACATATTTTTGTTGCTATTTCCTAGATTCAGGTGTCGGACCGAGTATAGCTGAAGAACACTGGAGGGAAGGTAGAGGCTTTTCTGGTAGTGTCCAAACCTTATTGATTGGTATTTATAGGCTAGAGGACCCCTATGTCAGAAAGGTTGAGGAACTACAAAGGCAAACACGTTTATTTAGCTAAGCACGTTCTTCCCCATGTATTTCTTTTTGGTAGTCAATTTGTTGGAATAGATTTGAAGGTGAAACACTCAGATTGCGTGTTGTCGTGCGGATTTTTTATTGGATAAGAAAAGGGTCGGATAGGATAATGACCAGATTTGTAATATCACATGCAATGTTTGGTAAATGTCCGGATATAAGGTGGATATAAACACCTAGAATTAAGTCATCATATGCAATGTTTGTAATATCATACGCAATGTTTACCCTCTATTTTTTCTCATATTTTTCTTTTCTTTTGTTTTCTTTATTTATTTTTTAAATTATTATCCTATCCGGGTATGTCCCACCTCCTAGGTGGGATTTTTAATCCGAGCTATATCTGGATTATATATGGACAAATCCGAACTTCATGTTCTGCCAAATACCGGATAGAATAAAAATTATCATATCCAGAATTATATCTGGTCTACCAAACGCAACCTCACAACTCACACAATCTTAGGGAGAAGGAGACAAAGAGGCCTCATTCACTTTTATCGGTAACTCCTCATCGGTTTCACCTTTTGTAAGGAAAATAAAAGGCAATAGTTAATTTATGAGATAAGTGCACTGGAAATCCTTAAACTTGTCACGAAAGTGCAATTTAACCCTAAAACTTTTAAAAAGTGCAAAAAAGTGCTAAAACTTATTACAAAAATACAATCGAGTCTTAAAACTTTCAAAAAGTGCAATAAAGTCCTAAAACTTATCACGAAAGTACAACCGAGTCCTAAAATTTTCAAAAAGTGCAATCAACGGAAGGAATTAATCGGATCAACTTGACAAGTTTTAGGACTTGATTGGACTTTTTTAAAGTTTTAAGATTCGATTGCACTTTAGTTACAAGTTTAAGACTTAATTACATTTTTTAAAAGTTTTAGGATTAAATTATATTTTTGTGACAAATTCTAAAACTTCTAATAGATTTATCCCTTAATTTATTAAAGCATCTTCTTCCCCGTATACTTTCTATTTGTCATGAGCATTGGGCATAAAATATATTAAAATATGTCTTGAATTTGAAATCGTGAGACGAAACCTGACTCGTCTGGAATTATGTACACTCAACCACCGTTCAAGATTGGTAGGTAGAAATGCAATGATGGCCTGTCAATAGCCATGACGCCACTCCATCATGTGTAGCTTGAGTATGGAAAGAAACTGTAATGGTCCTGACTAAAAGAGAGAGCTTCGTTCAGCTAAACAAAGGAACACAGATGTAACGATGGCCATTCATTATACGGGACAAAGGGAAGATGACGATATCCTTAGTCATGATTCGACCACTCGTATGATGGGATAGGCCGGCCGAATGCTGATCGATACCTCTTTACACGAGGAAAATCTGCCACACATGGATTTGTTTAATTGCAGATGGAACTTTTACGTAGGACTTCCTCCTGTATATAAGGAGCTCTCGGATCGTGGTTGAAGGGTGTCTTGGTGCACCGAAGAAGAAGGTGGTTTCCGTGAGTTCATTTTGTTTGACATGCATTACATACCTCGTCATTGCTCAACCCAACCATTGTTGTTGGGATAATTTTTTCCATCAATTTCTTTTTTGTTAGGCCTAGTATTAACTGTTTACGTGATATGTGATTTAATTTCATACTATTCTAGTGGTTGCTTGCTTTAATTAATGTATTTCGAAATTTCAAATCCTAAGAACAAATATTAAAGGAGAAAACCACTCCCAATATACGTCTACTTGTCACATGAACATATAATAAATATTAAATTTGGAGAGGAAGTTGACTTGTAACATAAAAAGGGGGTCGAATGGCCAGATTGGGTAGTGACAGGCGACAGATATGGACTCTGAGGCTGGCAGCATTTTCATCCCATTTTGGTTAAAACACTCATTCTTTAGTTAACCGATCGATATACCATTATTCTCATTCTTCAATGTATTATTTTTTTTAGGGTTAATACCACTGAAAACCCCAAATTAATTTTTTTACCACCAAAAACCTCAAATTGGTATACATGTGACAAATTTACCCTTCGTTAGTTTTCGTTAAATTTTAGTGTCAAATTGGTTTGTTAAATGACACAAGACAGTTGACGGATGTACTAGTTTTGGCTTTTACCTTCTATTTGTCACAGGCGTACCAGTTTGTAATTTTTTATGGTATTCATCTAATTTAACGAAAACTAATAGAGGGTAAATTTGTCACAAATGTACCAGTATAGAGTTTTTTGTGGTCAAAAAATCAGTTTAGAATAAATTTGTCACTAGTGTATAAGTTTGGAGTTTTTCGTGATATTAACATTTTTTTTTATTATTGAGCTAACCAACAAAATTAAATTTATATATATATATAATCTCTTTCATCAGTTTCATAATATCAATGCCCCGTTACATCCAACAAGATATCATCTTATTTTGCATCATGTTATCACTTTGCCTAAAGAAGGTTGTTACTTTTAATTTATGGTCTCATATTTTTAATAACAAAAGATGTATAGAGGATTAGAAATTTTATTTATGAAATCTTATAAATACACAATTGATCGCCTATTTTCAATTCAAATAATAAAAGCGAGTCTATATTTCAAAGTTGAAAATTGAACTTGAATCTAATTATCTAACCAATTTTGACCTTGTGGGTGTTTTTCTAGAATAGTTTGTAGGTTTTTAAGTTTTTTTTTTATTGGAATTGTAGGTTTTAAAGTTAAACACAGGTTATTTGTACTTATTTTGAGCTTTTCTCATTTTAATCCAAATTACAAGATGGGGTTGAAAATCTACTTATACATTTTTCACTTTTTTAACTCACATCAAATTATTTTAGATAAAAGTTTTAAGCATATTTCAAAATTTTGATCCACTTGCTATAAGAATGAATTTATAACCGATATTCATATTTTCTTCATGGTAGAAGTAGAACATCAAGAAGTTACTTTATTTTCCTTTTTTGCTTATCTTTCATTTCAATATGATCTAAATATAAATATGTTTAATGTTTAATCATATTTCTAACAAATTAACCTTTTCGACATTATGATAAGTTTTTTTTTCCATTTTTGATCAAGATCAACTAGATAGATTAAAATTTTAGATTTCAAATTTGAAACATAGTTTCGCTCAAACTATTTGACAAAAACTAGGCAACTAAATGTGTGTTCATAGCCGTCATAAACAGAAATTTCTAATATTCTATATAGCTTTTGTAATTAAAAATATGAGATCATTTATTAAAATTAACAACCTTCTCTAGGCTAAGCATGATGCATGATAAGATGAAGTCTTGTGGGTGTAACAGGGTATTTATATTGTGAAACCGATTAAAGAGATGATGAATTAAAGTTAGTTTTCTTTGGGCCTAATACCCAAAAAAACCTCAAATTTTAGTTTTTGTCCCAATTTTACCTTTTGTTTCGTAAAAAACCTTCAACTTTAGGTCATATCCCAATTTTACTCTAAACTTTTTTGGTCCTATAAAAAATCCTCAACTTTAGGTCTAGTCCCAATTTCTACCCTAAATTTTTTTGTCATAAAAAACCCTCAACTTTAGGTCGAGTACCAATTTTACCCTAAACTTTTTTTTATCTCATATGAAAATCTCAACTTTAGGTCCAATTTCAATTTTACTCTAAATTTTTTGTCTCATAAAAGATCATCAACTTTTACTTAAGTCTCAAATATGCTCTCCATTAACCATCCATCAAAATCGCCCTTAGTGATTTTGCGCTCGTTGATCTCTCGTGCTTGGGACTGTTCTATCTCTCGCAGTCGGAGAGCACTCGAACAGCTCGTGCTTGAGAGTTTTTCATCTATCAGTTGTCAACGAGAAATTTTGAATGAAGGGTAATGGGAGCAGATTTGTGACTCAAGTAAAAGTTTGTGATTTTGTATGAAACTATAAAAATTTTAGGGTAAAATTGGGACTACATGGCAAATTGGGACAAGACCTAAAGTTTGGGATTTTTCATAGAACAAAAAATAGTTTAGGGTAAAATTGGGATATATCCTAAAGTTGAGGGCTTTTTATAGGACAAAAAAAAGTTTATGATAGAATTGAGAATGGACCTAAACTTGAAAGTTTTTTATGAGACAAAAGGTAAAATTGGGACAAAAATTAAAGTTTGAAGTTTTTTAGGGTATTAGGCCCTTTTTGTTTGGTTAGCTTGATCAAAAAAAAGACAAAAGATTGGGTATTCCAGTCAGTTAATTGAAAAAAAATGAGTGTCTTAGTCAAAATGGGGTGCCAATAGCACCGCCGAACCTTTTTTTTTTTTTTGTAACCGAGGTGTCCGGACCAGCTTGCGCGCACCTCGACTATTCCTCGGGGGAGACTAGCACAGCAACCCACCGACATGGCCCCCCACTTAAATCACAAGTGCTCAGCTGGGGAATCGAACCTGAGACCAGTGCGCCTAACCACACAATCCCAAGTACGCCCTAACCAACTGAGCTACCCATGGGTGGGTGCACCGCCGAACTTTTAATACCTTCTTTTTTTGTTAAATAATTTTACTTCTTCTGTTAGGTTGGCAGCGTGCGTGTTACTATATAATTAACAAAGAAAGTTCTTTTATGTTGTTATTTTATTTTAATAGGAACTCAGTTCCGCGAAATTTATAAATTCACGCACCCCATTCGGCGCTCATCATGTCCAATCGTCTCTTTGATCATCCGATTGCCACGTTAACTTTCTAAAGATTATACTTTTGGTAGTTTCTAGTTCTACCTTTGAACCAAAGCCAACATAGAAAATTGATAATAAAAAAAAAGCAATATATTGGTTTTTAAATAAGGGTTAATACCACGAAAAACCCTAAATTGATACATCTATGACAAATTTACCCTTTGTTAGTTTCCGTTAACTTTTATCGTTAAATTGCTGAGTTGGATGACA